CTCCTTTTCCTCCTCTTCCTCCTCTGTCTCCTCCTCCTTCTCCTCCTTCTCCTCCTCCTTCTCCTTTTCCTCCTCTTCCTTCTCCTCCTCCTCCTCCTTTTCCTCCTCTTCCTCCTCTGTCTCCTACTCCTTCTCCTCCTTCTCCTTCTCCTCCTTCTCCTTCTCCTTCTCCTTCTCCTTCTCCTTCTCCTCCTCCTCCTTCTCCTTCTCATCTTCATCCCCTCTTTCTTTTCCTCTTCCTCCACCTCGTTCTTCTACTCCTTCTCCTTTTCTCTTTCCTGCTTCTTTTTTTTCCCCATACCAGAGGATTGAACTCGGGACCTTTTGCTTGCCAAGCAGGGCACTTATGCTGCTGAGCTATATCCCTAGCCCAGGAAATGTTTTGAGATGGCAAGCTTTTTATTTGAATAAAATTAAAATTTTCTACAGCTAATTCTGCATACTCTTGTAGCTGAATCTTTTTAAGTTTATTGTTTTTAAAAAATATATTTGGTACAGTGTCTCACTACATAGCTCAGATGCAAGTGATCCTGCTGGTTTCAGCTTCCCTGGCACTGGGGTTCCAGGGGTGTGCCACCAGGCCTAGACTTGGTCACAGGCTCACCATGCCTGAGGGTGGGGTCAGCGCAGCATGTGGTACTAGGGATCAAACCCTTGTCCCTGCGCTTGCCTAGGCAGGTGCTTAGTCTGCTGAGCTCTCTCGCCAGCCCAATTTCACTGCTGTCTGGTTCTGCTACCTAGACTCCTTCTCAGGACAATGCTGTGTGCACAGGAGCCAGTTACAGTGTCAAGCAGTATTAATATAAGGATGACCTGTGGTAATGCAGAGTCAAGGGCAGTAGACCAGGTAACACAATATTACAGTGGTCCTGGCATCCAATGCTGAGGATCTGGACCTAAAGGGATTTCTGGTGACCATATACCTAATGGATTGCAACATTTTAAAACTAAAGAAGCCTCATGATTCTTTATTCTATATGATGCTATGATCCAAGACTCTGAAAGATTAGTAAATTTTTTCAAAGGACATCCTTTGTTGGAGTCATATAGGAATGCTCTATGAATGGTAGAAATCCTGGAGACATAGTAGGGCTCTTGTGTTTGAAGGTGATGTCTTCAAGTGAGGAGAGCAGAGGAGCTGGTCTTTCTGCAGGGCTCTCTGTTTCATTCAGAGAGAAAGAGGATAAATCAGCCTGGAGCTGGGGTAGGACTCAGGCCAGCTGATAGAGCACACAGGTGCCAAGCGGCCTCCAGGTCTCAGGATGTGAGTCCCAGGATGAGATGGGGGATTAGCTGGTGTGCAGAGAGCTCCGCCATCAGGGGAGCTGCTGGGGCAGTCAGGTGGAGAAGGGCTGTGGCCTTGCCTGGGGCGAAGGCCAGTGGTGTGCAAGACAGCCAGCAGTCACTCAGAGATTGCAGGGCCTTCAGGGCGGTGCGATAGAGTGGTAGGGGTCTGCATATTGGTGTCCTACTTGCCTACAGTTGCATTTGTCTGAGGAGGGAAACACTTCTTCTTGCAGATCAGTATTTCTTGCCAGTTCTTCTGTAACAGCTGCTGGAGCTACTGCTGCAGAGCTTGCAGCTCAGCTCTCTGTGTCAGAGTGAGCGTCCAGTCTGCTGCATGCAGCTTCGTACAAATGCTGCTTCCAGAACTCGCAGGAGGAGGGCTTTTCTCTAAGAAAACACTTTGTGGAGGTGGTAGCCCTTGCACAGCTCACTTAAAAACTGTCTTTCTTTTCTCTCCCTCTATTTGCTGTCTTCCTTGCCTTGTAAGATGCACTTTGCCTCTTATGAACCCCTAGGCGTATCTGTTTGCCCCCTCTTCTATGGCATGACTCTTGCTTTACTTCAGTGAATGAGACATTTGAGGGCCTGAGGATAAAATGCGGATCTCTAGCTTGAAGAATACCCCGAACAGCCTCGGTGCTCTGATGTTTCACTGTGGGCATCTGGACGTGGAGTGTCAGCCTTCTGAGGGACACACGATAGGGGCCCGAAGAGTCTTGTTGATCAGATTGTCCACTCCGGACCACCACCAAGGTTT